AATGAGTACTGAGTCATCCAACATACAAGTTGTTTCATTTAACAGAGCTTGAACAAATAAAAAGCTGTACACTTACTTCTTAGGAAGTCTAGGAGGGTGCACCTGAAGTTTACGGAGAAATGGGGTGGCACCATATGAATTCCTTAAGTTACCATAGTCAAATTACTTAACTCTGGTGTCAGTTTCCTCAATTATAAAATGAAAGGGTTTTACTGAAATAATCTGTGAAAGTCCTATTAAATTCTAAAATGCTATGTGGTTCTTCTCTTACCAAAGGCCAACTCTATCTTCAACAAAAGGTGTCAAACCAATCCCCTAAAGGTGCCCCTTTCTTCATGTTACTCCCATTTTGAAGAATCCAAACGATTCCCTAAGGCATCTTACATAATCTTTTATTTCTTGTCAAGTTTTCAAGACATTCATAAAAGGGCTTCACTTACCTAACTACCCTCATTTTATTGTGGTGCTGGGGATCTAAACCCACAGCCCCTCACACACAATGCTCTAGCACGGAGCTACACACCCAGCCTCAACCACCTACTCTTATTTCCAGCTGTTATTCACTAGAGTGGTGCTCTTCTCAGGCTGGTCTCCCCACTGTTTCCTTTTCACACGACAGAACTCCCACCCGTAGAGCTTTTGCTCTTGTTATCTCCTACGACAGATCTAGCCAGACATTTTAAGTTCCCCCTAGAGCTTAATCAAGGACTTCATTGAGGTCACGATTCTTTCCAAGGAAGCTTTTCCAGATTTCTTTTAATTGTCCTTTTCTTCAATCAACACCGATGAACTAAATCTTTGCAAGAGGCAAAAACAGCGAGAGTTCAAACTCCCATGGAAATTATTCCACAGGAGCCTACGCTGATCGTGGTCGGGCACCGGTGCGCTAACAGTTTCCCTGAACACTTTATCTTAGGCAAGAGCCAGGCACTGACGGGCTCCTGTATCCCCCAATGCACACAGGACCGTATGGGCCACAGAGCCGAGCCCCACGCGCTGTTGGCCCTAATCCACTGCTTGGGCCCGCAGCGGGGCCGGGAGGGCAGGTGCAGGCACCAGGTGTGAAGTCATCCAGGTGACGCAGGGCCGGCCCACTCAGCGCCAGGGACCCGGCCATCTCTTCCAGAAGGCTGTCTCCCCAGCCCAGCTTCATCCGGCTCGGAGTTTTCCGGGTCCTCGACTTACAAGCCCCGGCCGCTACCAGGGCCTCTCTGCTGACCCCGCTCCCCTCACCTCCAGCCCCGAGCCACTTCCCCGGCAACCTGACAGGTCCGACTGCCACCCGGCCGCGCAGCAACCCGGTCAGGCAGCAGGGCGCAGCCGGAGGGGACACATGCAGACCAAAGGGTGTCACGCGCGAGGCCGAGCGCCACTCACCCGGCGCCAGGTACCAGATCCGGGATGCCCTGCGCGAGACGACGAGCAACGGCGACAAGCGCGGGGCTGTGGTCGGACAGTGGCGGCGCCGGCACTTCCTGCCTAGGGAGGCGGGGCGGAAGGCGCACCGGAAGGCGCGGCGGCTCCAACAGGGAGAGAGGGGTGCGGTCAGCGTGGCGCGCAGGACAGTGCTGGCCGGGGGTCCGGACCGGCCTGGGGCTGCCGGGGCTGCACGCACACAGCCCGGGTCCTAGTGGTCTCTTCCTTCCTGTCCAGGTCTGTCTCGGCAAGCCCCCGTGCGGCTGGGCGGCCACCCCGTGCCCCCCCCCCCGCGGCCGGTCCCCACCGTCCTTCCGCATTCCTGGCCGTGGGGCGGGGTCGAGGGGCAGGGCCCAGGGCACTGCGCTGGAATTTGACCCGCCTGGGCCTTGATCCGCCCAGTTTGGGGTGCCCGCAGGAAGCGGCCCACCCAGGGTTGACAGATTTAGCAAATTAAAGTACAGTTACCATAGTTCAATTTGAGTTTCTGATCATTTTTAGGGTCTGTTCTATGCACTATGAGAAGGTTCAAGAGGCACGCTCCTGCTAACTCTAGAATCCCTTAACTACATTCCAGCCCAAGGAAAGTCGTTTATGCCCTACTCCTTTCCTACCTTCAAAATATTATTATTCTTAGTTAAATTCTATTTATTAATTTTTGTAGTGTTGGGAATCGCGCATGCTAGGACCTACCGTCAAATAATAAGGTGTACGGTCTTATCAGGCCACACAACTGTTTCATTCCTCCTTTTAAACATAACAAAGTTTTGTTTAAATTAAAATTATTACTCACACACGTATAAACATATATACAATGCTCTTGGTCAACAAATGGAAAACAGGAAGCTACATAATTCAGGTTTTGTTCTACATACTCTTTGTGGCTATAATCATCAAGATAATAATTAAAGGAATAGCACTATTTCAAAACAATAGAGAATGGTCAGCCTAAGAGCCAATTTTTACTCAACTCTTCTTACTGCCTACACAGGTGCCAGATGCTGGGGAGATGAATAATTTGAATTATTTTTCCCTTAAGGAGTTTATATTCTAGAAGTCTATATCTTAAATCCTAGAAGGTAGGAACTATGTGTTCAGCACTCTACACAAGTAGTTCTTAAAACAGTAGCATGGAAAATAACCTGGAAAGGCTGTTAAAAGTTTCTTGAGCCTCAAAATCCAGTATTATGATTCAGTGCCAGAAGTTGAGAATAATTTGCACTTCTGATCAGCACCCAGGTGATGCTGATGCTGTAAGTCACACCTGGTTCTAAACATTTAAATCTTCCTTAGCTGAAGTCTGCCCCTTGTTTGATAGTTTAAGTAACTGTCTTTACACTCATCAGATTTTGACTTCTTAGGTCTTTATCACAGAACTCTTGCAAGTATGATCTATTACCTAGGGGTAGAGTACTTGTCCAACATGAACAAGGCCCTAGGTTGGGTCCCCAGCACCGCCCCCCCCCCCAAAAAAAAAAAACAAAAACACCCACAAAGGGCTGTTAGCCAAATATCGTCTATTACTACTTCATAAGCCTTTACCCTGGTAAATGTAAGCTCATAGCTGAAATCACCCTGACTATACTTTGTGTGCTATGGATCAAGCCTAGGGCTTCAAACTACCACTGAAGTATACTTCCTGCCTATACATTAACTTTGAGCTCTGTATTTAAGTTTCTAAACTGTCCTAATCATCACTAACCACATGTTGCTATTTAAACTTAATGTAAAATTCAGTCCCTGTTGTATTAGATACATTTTAAGTGTGAAGATTATGTCCAAATGGCAACACAATCATAAGCAGGTGGATGGTGATCCTGCCACCTCTGGGTTGGTTTCATCAATAGGGTTTTTTTTTTTTGGGGGGGGGGTACTAGGGATGGAATCCAGGGGTGCTTTACCACTGAGCTATATCCCTAGCCACCACCCCTGCCTTTTAATGTTTTAAGACAAGACCTTGCTAAATTGCTGAGTCTGGCCTCAACTTGCAATCCTCCTGCCTCACCTGCTGCTGAGTCACTGGGATTACAGGCATGCCCCTGGATCATGAGAACTCTTGAAACAGTTTGTTTCAAGATAATTTTCAGCATGGAAACATTTTAGGAACTGTCAAAGTCACTGTTAGCGAAAAGATGCTTTCAGCTTTTTATTGGTAATCACCCTGAATTAAGCAAAGCCCAGTTACTAAGCAGAGAATGCTATTACTAAGCTGGCCGACTTATTTCATGCAGGCCAAATCATCCACTATTTCTAATATAGGGTGAGTCTTTGAACAGTTATCCAAAATGAAAATGGAGATACTGCAAGAGATAATTTAGTAGTCCCCCGCCCCCAGAGGAAATAATGTTACTTATTCTTCACTGGAGATTTGTTAACTAAGCAGAGGTGATAATTTTTTCAAGATTTTAGCACAATGGCAATAGCTGGGCAAAAATATACTTTTTAAAATCACTGAATGAGATTCATTCAGAGAATTAAGGCAGATTCTATAATTCTGATCTTGAAGGGGAAAAAGACTAGTTATTACTAGTCTTCTATTAGTATTCTATATAGCTGTCCTTACCATGTTAAAGGATCTCCCTTTCTGTCCTATTGAGTACAAAGGTCTGTTGCCCACAGGCATTCACTGTTCACTGAATGAGGTAATGGTTTTCTTCAAGGATAAAGCTTGTTAGTAGTAGCATAAAACTTGAAGTTATTAGAGTAATTTTCAACTATTTATCTTGGTAGGGTAATTTTGACTGTTTTCACTCAACTCTCCTCCTCCTTCAAATCCTTTTAAACTCAAATCTTTCAGAGTTTTAACACTTTCAGATTCTTAACACTTAAAGAGAATGAAACAGTCTTCCATTCCCTGATTAACTCTGAAACAGTCCTGTTTTTCTGCAAATACCAGAAGTTATTTTTAGGACTGAAACAATGACCTCACTTTCCCAGGCATGTAGCTTCAGCTGTTTTGATTGTGGGCAGGTCAGGAATGTCTAAAATTTATAAATGGACTCATGATGAATCTCTGCATAAACAAACATGGTCTTTCAATTGGGGTTGCTATAGTAAAGAAAAACCATATACAATAAAAAATACTATATTGTATTTTAAACAGCTTGAAACACAACACAGAAATCTGTCTTTTGATAAAAGCATTCCATAGACTCTCTTGAGCTAAAATCGTTTTTAAAAAATAGGACAAATGAAAATTATGCTCAGTGACCTAGTCTATTTTTAAATGACATAAAATAATGTACAAAAGCTTAGAAGATAAAGTGGGGACACATAAAACAGATACATCAAACTTAAAAACTTAAAGCTACTACAGTGTCACTATATACAAATTCTACAGGAAATTATTTTAAAAACTGGAAGACAAAGTGCAGGAAACCTGATTAGGACAGTTAAAATTATACTTCCTTGGGAGGAGAAAATGAATGTAGAGAAGATAGGACTGTTAGGAAAACGAAGGGAATATAAGAGGGGTCTGGCAAGCCTATCATTTTCTGGGATTTACCTCTTCCATCTTTCTTTGAAACATAAAACTAAAACTAACAAAATCCAATTTTGGTAAATAATAAGTTAAAACAAGTCAGTATTTTATCATAAAGTTTAATCATGGTTCAGAAAAAATTGAGTGAATAACTTTCTCTGAAAAAATATATTGACTCTGTGTAGACTGCAGTTATTGGGGGTGAGGGCAATGGTAACTTAAATTACCCTATTTTCTATTCTGAAAATGACAAAAAGTCCCATTTCCAGTCTGATTATAAAGATACATGAGCCTCAAAATGGCTGAGAATAAATACAAAACAAGAAAGGCAAAAGCTGTAAAGCTAAAAGGCATGCAATAGGCTCTAAGAGAAAAATCTCAGAAATACCCAAAGTGGCAACAAGGAACATTTGGCTGGAATTTGAAGATCTTTTCAGTCATCTTTGTCTTTTGCTCCATGTTTAAGGATGCGCGTGAACTCAATGTAATTGAAATTCCCCTTTTTGTCAATAGGGGCTTCTCTGTACAGCTCATCCACTTCCTCATCTGTAAACCGATCACCCATGGTGGTCAGCAGCTCTCTCAGGTAATCCTCCTGAATGGTGCCTAGAGAATAAAGAACAGGGGATCAGAATACATATTACTGAGACTAATTACAAGGCCTATCTATACTTGACTACACATACTGTTTAAGTTAAGAAACTGTAAACACACAAATAAATTAGATATGGGGTTTCCACCTGCTTTTGGCAACCTCAGCAGACAGGTGCCTAGAAAAATATCCAGCTACTTCGCAGCACTGCTCTATTAACCTGCCTCCACATCCTTCTTCTGATCTCTTTATAATAGAAACTAAACCTATGCCTAAACAAAAGTAATATGGTGTGACTAATGAAACTAGGCCTCATGGCTCCTTGAAATGGCATGAGTGGTCATGCCTATGCTACAAGCAAATAGCGGTCACCTGCCACATTAAAATCAATACCGCATCATGAACGTCAATAAAAATACTTTAGTTGAAAGAATAGTGGAGTCCTAAAGCCCGGTTTAACAAGCTATATTATTTCAGGTATTACACTTTACCTCTTTGGTTTTCTCACATGTGAAAGGAAAATTTTATGTTTACAAATCTAACTTATAATGATAACAAACATGGCCAAGCCTAGAATGTGCAAAAACATGGAATAAATACTGGTGCATAAAGTATGTCACTGACCCTGTGTTAGGTAATTGGGATGTGAAGGGTGAGCTGAAAGGTATGTTTTTTTACTCTGGGTTTTGTGTATATGTGTGTGCACGTGCACATACCCACTATTGGGGGGTTGAACCCAGAGATGCTCTATCTCTGAGCTACAACCCCAGCCTTTTGTTTTTTATTTTGAGACAGGGTTTTCCTATGTTGCAGAGGTCTGCCTCAAACTTGTGATCCTTCTGCCTCAGCCCCCCCAAGTAGCTGGGATCACAGGCATGTGCCATCATGCCCAGTTACTTGTGGGTTTTTGATACAAAGGTTTTCATAAAACCTGCCTGCCAGCTGGGCATAGTATCTATAGTTTCAGCTACTCAGAAGACTAGGGCAGGAGGACTGTGAGTTTAAGGTTAGTTTGAGCAACATAGAGAGACTCTTAAGAGAGACAGACCCTGCCTGCCTAAAACAATAAATATATAAATACTTGTAAATATAAAACACAGAAACAAATTCCCAAATGTCACCTATGATTTACTTTCTCATATTGGCATTATTTTGGAATTTTAGCTTTGTGGAAATAAATTCTCATCTCCAGTCAAGTCATTCAACAATTCCATAACTAATTATCTACTGTGTGCAAGGGCTACAAAGATGGGAATGAAATACTTTTTAAGACAAAGAGTAATTACTCTGGAAGTGGGAAGAAATTGTAATTATTGGGAACAAGTACACAACTAAAATATAAAGTCAAATAGTGTGTGTGCCACAAAAGAGATACAGATACGTACAAGGAATGGAGAAGCTTTTTGCCTTCCTGGGAGCCAGGAAAAAACAGTAAGAAATCACAGGCAAGGCTCCATAAAGGATGAGACCATTGAGATGGGTATGAAAAACACATAAAACCTTTTCTTCTTTTACAATTTTTTTTTCTTCCATTAAAAAAGTAGAAACTGCTCACAATAAATTCAAACAATACACGGGTGTCTTCAGGAGTCAAAAAGGTAAGCCTCCTCTGCCTATATTCTTCCTACATTCTACTCCTTCCAGAAATAAATTAAGAATCTTCATTGAAAATGCAGAAAGAAGAGGTGGTATGGTAAGAAAGGCAGAGGAAGAAATGATGAAAGTCAGCATAACAATGCATAAATGTGTTTGGAAAGAAGTTAGGGAGACAATACAAGAGTGGAGGGTGCCTTGAAAAGGCAGAAAACAACCATACTGTGGGGAGCCTTGGAAGCCAGAGTAAGGAGACAATGCTGGCATCAGCAGGCCCAGACCACCACCCAGCACTGAAACTAGTCTAAGCAATGTTCCTCCTCCATGAGTTGGGAATCTTGGAAAATATTCCCTTTGTGTTTTATCTTATATGTACTTCTGCCAAAGGATCAAACATTTATGTAATTAATGCGTTGTTTTTGTGAGAGTCAACTCTATGCTAGTCAGTGTGCACACTGTCCTACTTCCTCATTTAGTCCTCACAACCACCCTATGAGGTAGGTAATATTAATGCCCATTTCAAAAAAAAAAAAGAAAACCAAGACCAGGGTTGTCGCTCAGTGGTGGAGTGCTTGCCTAGCATGTGTGAGGCACTGGGTTTAATCCCTGGCACCACATAAAAATAAACAAATAAAATAAAGTTATTGTGTCCATCTACAACTAAGAAAACATTTAAAAAGAAAAAGAAAAAGAAAAAGAAAAAAAAACAAGGCTTAGAGAAGCTAAGTAGATGGCCAAAATTAGACAGCTATTGTGTGTTGCAGAAGAGGAACCTGAAATCCAGTAGTCTGATTCCAGAGCATAAACTCTGCTTGGTTTATTTTTAAAAAGAAGTTAGCAGATTTAAAAAAATTTAGAGTTCAGAGATCCCTGATAAGCAAACAGGTTTCTACTGGTGCCACAGACTGTGGCAAATATATACTTTACACAAGATTGTTCTCACCAAAGTTACTCATTCTACACATATTTGCGGGGAACCTAACCCTCTGGAATTAACATTTTAGTAAGAGGTAACCCAAGTTTCCCAAAGATATCTCAAACACAACCTACGAAATTTTATAAATTACTAATATTTAAGGAAAGAGAGTATAATAAGTGATAAAGGCACTCCAGGAAAACCCTGTTCAAAAAAGTAGGGGTAGTATAAACCTAAAGGTTTTATCACATTTTAGGTTATTTTATATATCAGGTATTATAATTAAAAATCAAATCACTTTGTAATTAAAGATTACCTCTGACTTACCAGTAGCTTCTTCATCAAAGCAAGCAAAAGCATTTCTGATGACATCTTCGGGATCTGTGCCATTTAACTTCTCACCAAACATGGTGAGGAACATGGTGAAATTGATGGGTCCTGGAGCCTCATTCATCATGGCATCCAGGTATTCATCAGTGGGATTCTTCCCTAAACAACAACAAAAATAAAAAGAAGAGAGGATCATAATTTCAAGTATACTATGAAGCATATCAGCTATTAATCATAGTAAACATTTTGACAAGAAAGATGATCATTTGTATAGTTTGTTGTTTGCATTCATGACAGCAAACTTTTTAGAGAAAAAGTCTTTGGAATGAATACAGCCTAAATTAAGAATTTGGAGACTGTAAATATTCCATTAGGATGTTAGAAAGAATAGTACTGCTTCATACTCAAGACCAGTGTGTCTCCCACCAACATACACACATGGCGCCCACCCCAATTCTGAGATAGGAATAATAATCTGCAGGCGCCCACTCCAATTCTAACACAGGAATAATAATCTGCAGGTGTCCATGTGGGACTTTATTTGAATCTAATAGACATTAAACTGGCTTCACAGAGCTTTAAGAATCACAAAACAAACATGAAAGGCTTCATGGAAATTCTATTCAGTATATTAATAGTAAAACTGAGCATTACCCAGTGAGGCAAGCATATCATGCAAATCTTCCTTGTCAATGAAACCATCTCTGTTCTGGTCAATCATGTTGAAGGCCTCTTTGAATTCCTGAATCTGTGATTGGTCAAACATGGCAAATACATTGGATGTTGCGCGTTGAGGGCGCTTCTTGGTGGTCTTGGTCTTTGCCCTTTTGCTCGACATGGTGGTGGTTGAATCCTAATTTAAGAAGGGAAATTCAAGAAAAACAAAATCAACATCCAAAATTATTTAAGTTTGAATAAAAACAATGATTAGCAAAAATAAACTGAATTGACCTTCCTGATATGTTTGAGTTACTTAGAGATGTGTCTGCAGCAGGAGAATATCACTTGGTAAAAAAATCTCTCAACTTATCAAAACCATTACTCAAAGAACCAAACTAAATGAAAAAAAAAAAAGACTTGGTTCAATGAACATTTTGTTGAAAGGATAATGGAAAAATATAGAAAACTGAAGTTAATCCACCTATAATTAACTTATATAGACATTACCCTTAAAATCATGAATTTTTATAAAAGCATTTCAACAAAATTACATATCCCCAATACTGTTGGATAGCTTAACAACTGATAACCATAACACTAATATTTATAACATTTAATAACAATATAAGAATAAGAAATAAACCAAAAAAACTTAGGTATAGTTCTATGGGGGTGCTGAGAAATATTAATTCATCTTTAGTAGGTCCACCTAAAGGTCTCATTCTATAGTGGACAGAAAGTAAGAAAGTAGGGAGACTGAGTGGTGGAACAGGTCTTCTCTCCTAATCACTATTCACAAGCACTATTCTTACACATTCAACTAACATTTCTCAGTGCACTTTCATTTCTGGATCCAAAATAGTTCAAGAAACATTTTGTTGAAAAGATAATGGGAAAATATAGAAAACTGAAGTTAATCCACCTATAATTAACTTCTTTAAACATTACTCTCCGTTCAAACCAGTTTCTTGCATTAGAGCCATATTAAACCATTGATATTACTAAAACATCTAAACAAATCAGAGTACAATTTTTTAAAGCTTAAAGATTTTAAATTTAGTTTAAGTTTTAGAGAACATCTTAAAAAGCAGAGATTACCTTTGCTTTCTAATAACCAAAATTTATCCCTACAAAATTTAAGTTAAAACTAATGTTTAATACATAAAATGAAAAGGCAATTTTCCTTTCAACACTCCATTTTTAAAAGACTATAATATTTATTTGAAGCTACAAATCCCATAGTCATCAGATAAAATTCTACTGTACCATCCTTTAGAGGTGATGTGGTTGAGAAGGTAGTCTGCAAAACCTCTGATCAGCAAGAGTAAGACACTGTATTGAGTTATATTCTTCTGAGCAGGTCTAAAATAGGCACTACTGATTTCACTCTCTGACCAGGATAACAATTTTAAAGCTTACGTTCTGAAAACAACATTTAGCAATGATGTGGCAAAACACTATGCCCTTGCTCTAAAAATAAGTCTGTGGACTGCAAAGAATGAACTGCTACCTAGATCTCAGCACTCAAAGTGACCCTTGGAATATAATGCTTCCTATGGGTTTAAAATGTTATTTTTTACATTCTTTCCTTGATTGAACTATATCACCCAGACTAAATTCAATTATGGAAATAATTAGAAAAGCTCTACTTGTATTATTTTTAACTGAATCTCTTTTTAGATTTTAGTTCCGAATTCCATAAAGGGTAGTCACAAATTCCAGCCCATCCAATATAGCTCTCCTTGCAATACACTGGAATGTATTACTGGAAAAATATACCATACACAGCATAGAAATTATATGTTCCTCCTGAATTTCCTTTTATCACTTCTTTATGAAGGTACTTTTCATGACCCATGTAAGCATTCTCGAATGCATATTTTCTTTCTGTTAATACTTTTGTGGGGGGGGGGGAGACTAAATCTTCTTTAAACTGTACAGAATTGTATTTTCACCTTCTATTCTAAATGTTGCTTTAAAAACTAGAAAAATTTATGGAGTATATTATTCCTCTGTCTCTTAAATGTACTCAAGGACTTGGCACAAGTGGTCAAGACCCAATGAATGGCATGCACTTACCAGTCCACACCGCTTTAATATTTTAGGTATGCCATGCCTTTACAAGCCAAAGCCCATCTTTAAAAATAGTCTGTTTGGTATGACAACATTGTCTTTCTCTAATGATGCAAAAATGTCAGTTATTTTAAGAACAAAGACAGATGAGAATTATAAGTCAAATGGTTAATCTACAAAATATGCTGATGGGGGTCATCTAGATACCTTTTTTAATTGCTTAGCTTGGGTTGTAAAGTAATAGATAAATAGTTTTTAAATTTTTGAGTATTTTCTATTATTTTAATCATGCATTTTTTGAATATGTACATGCATCATAAAATAATTTAAAAGGTAAACCTTGCAGGTGGTACACGCCTATAATCCCAGAAACTCAGAAGACTAAGGCAAGGAGGATGGCAAGTTGAAGGACAGCCTGGGCAACTTAGCAAGACCCTATCTCAAAATACAAGATAAAGAGGGATGAGGATGAAGCTCAGTGGTAGAGCATCCCTGTGTTCAATCCTCAATACTGCCAAAAAAAAAAAAAATAGTTCTAAAGGTGTTGTTTTTGTTTTTTTGGTCAGCACAGACAATGGTCTCATAGAGAACTTTAGATCATTCAACAGTTAATCTTATCAACCCTACTATGATCAGTTAATCATACTACTGTGCATCAAGTATCATTAGGGTTGAATACTAGTTAAAAAATGTAAGGCACATGTCCTACCTGCAAGGAGCTTAAAATATAGTTGGGGAGGCAACTATAAAAAATGAAACGATTGGTTCAACTTACGAAATGGGTCACATAGTTTTCATTCCAGAGGTATGACTCTAAAAGTTAAAATAACGTGACAAAAATGAAAAATAATCCATAAGGTGGCACATGACTATCAAGTACTGTTGAGTTCAGAAAAAAATGTGTGTATTTCTAAAAGATTGGATGGAGGGAAAACTTTGAAAAACCATGAGTATAACTTGCAGGCTATGAAATATTGTTAAAGAGATTTCGGTGTTAGTTTTAATTCTAACAATTAAGGCAGTTAATTCCACCAAAACTGAGTGTCATGTTGCCCAAGTTACTACTTGGGTTTTAACTTTTTCAAGGAAATTGATTCTGATCTATGAGTTTATCTCCCACCAGGAACCTGGAGCCTTGCAGCAAGGAGTTGTTCAGATTCACAGTCCTTATTCCAAAATAAGGAAACTGGTTTGTTTTTTCCTACCAATCTAAAAGCATGGCTAAAATAAACACAGGTGGAGGGAATCAAACCAGTGCTGTGATCAAGATCATCATCTTTGATATTGTGTTTCCACTTTGCTATGATTCTGGTTTGCTGTCCATTTTACTAACTCTCAAACAAGTGAGGCTGTAACTCTTTATGCAACAAAATGCACACCTCTGTGTCAGTCTAGAAAGTTAGGGTAAAATAAATTTGAAAATACTTCATACACCAGTACATGTTTTCTTTATTTAGGATGGATGGGAAGCACTTGAGATTTCCAAATCATAAGGGTCCTTACTTGTAAAGCCGAGTCCTTATTTTGGAAACATTTAAAAAGAATTTTGGCGGGAAGTGGTATTTGTTGTGTGAAATTTAAAAAGCAGGGAGATTTGTAAAACAGCCTTCTTTAATATGCATGAGGATTTCAGGAATGACTGGGGAGTCAAGGGTGATCAAGAAGATAGTAAGGGGCTGGGATGTAGCTCAGTGGCAAAGCGTCTGCCTTGCATTCGCAAAGCCCTGGGTTCGACCCCCAGTTCCAAAAAAGACAAAAAAAAGAACCCCACCAAGAAGATAGTAAGGACAATCAGTAGCAGCCAAGACAAAAGAAGGTGTGCCAAAAATGCTTAAGATGTTAGACAAGATCATGAGGTAGGAGGAGAACCAGAAAGCAGAGATCTTCAAACACATTTTCCCCAAACACCAAGGGCAACAGAATCTTTCAGATTTTCTAGAAATGATGGTATCTAAAGATTTTTGAAAACCATGTAAAAATCTATAAAGTGTGACTAATAGTTACAATTCTGGAGTTCTGCATTTCTATAGCGATAATAAATGTAAAATAATCTAGAAACTTTTTCTATAGAACTAACACTTATATTAAGAATACTCTGGGGAATGTACTATAACCTTTGATGAAAATTTCCTATCTTAAAACTGCAGAGTGTGAAAATCCAGATCATATATCTCATATCTCGGAGTACCTTTTTTTTTTTTTCAAACTAAGAGATTTATTTTTTGGTGCTAACTCAGTTTTTAAAAGTATATTTGCAAGTTGGGTTTTCCGTTCCAACTAAACCAAGTTTTTGTTTCTTACAAAAACTTCCGGTTGGAAGTCAGAAAAGTTCTCTTCGACTGCCACACCCAAAAGTTCTTGCCACTTGACAAAGACAATTAGTTGTCAGGGGTGATTTGGCAGTAAAGCCTCTTTCTAAAATAAAATGCTTTTCTGGTTAACTCTTATCAAAGGCCTTCCAGAACACGAAACAAACACCAGTAGTTTTAATCAACACTTGCCTTCTTCACCTTTAGAAATAAAACTTCTTACTTAAAAATGTTAAAATCTTAATTGAACCCACATTTCTTTTCTGAAGCTTTCTAAAGAACTGGCATGTGCTTTCGTATACTTACTAAACTACTTACAAAGGAAACACTGACTTAGCCCAGTGTCTCCACCCTAAAGGGAAATTGTCATTTTGGGGTTTAAGCTGCAAACTAAACCCCAACACTCCTCTCTGCCAAATATCATTATAATTAGAAAAAAAGTTCTAATTACAGAAATGGACATCGCGCTGCGATTTGAGTTGGTTATTCCTTCTAAGCAACAGCTGCAACCGGAGGGAGGACGGAGGCTGGGCGGGGAGGGCCACGATTTTAGCGCAAACTCCCTGGAATAGGGCAAGTTTACGTTAGAAACTAAACTTAGATCCCAGAGTCAGCTCTGCCGGGTTCGGGTATCGCGGGCCCGGCAGACACCCAAGCTTTAGGCGCCAGCAAGCTAAGCCACATTTTCCGAGATACAAGTTTCAGCACAGGAGCGAAGTTTGGCATCTGGGCCACTTCTGACCGCGGCCCTCGACTCCACAGCTGGCCGCTGGACTGAAAACCCGGGATCGGCTGGCACACCTGCCCAGGTGCGCTCCGGGCGCCGGGATCCCACGGCGAGGAGCGCCGCTGCCCTCCCCGTGGCCCCGCGGAGATGGGCCCCAGGAACCGGCTTCACGCGCCCGACCGCGAGCATCACTCACCCTACACAGCCACGAGAACCAAGCACCTTAGCGAACCCCTCGCTGCCTCTATCACCACCTTTCTGCCCCAGAGCCTGTGAAAACCAACACTTCCGGTCTCCGCTTTGCAAACCGGAAGGAAGCACAGTCACCATTCTCTGCCCACAAAGTGGGCTCGACTTAATGCAAAGGCGCCTAGGAGGGAAGTTGCTAGGGTGGTCAGCCGGCGAGATACTGACCGAGTGCACCGGTAGGAAGCATAAAGAAAGGGACTTGAAACATAACGGAATGTGTAATGGTTCGCTGGGTCTGATTACTGAGCTTCCGTCTTTGGTGTATCTCTACTTGATTGAAAGTGTTCCTATTCCCCCCTCTCATGTCTGCGTATGGTTGAGTCTGTCCTGTGGCTTTGCCTCTCGGCACATTCCAGGGCACGGCGAGGGGCGGGGTCCTACAGCCTAAGTCCTTGTAGGGAAATCGTCGAGAGGGCAGCGCGGCCCACGTGACTAGCCCTTGCTCCGCCCCCGAGGGCCCGGCTGCTCCCTCTGGGCTCCAGTGCGCCTGCGTAGCGGCTGCCTTGAGCCGCGCAGTGTCCGGTTCTGCGGCCACTTCTCGTCACTGTTCGTGTAGGCCCTTGAACAGACTCTTGCGGGCTGTTTGGTCACGTTATGCAGTGTTTTATGTATGAAGAGTCCACCCCTTCCACACAAGGAGAACATTGTGAAGTCCTAAGGGCCCCCAGCCAAGTGTCTATTTATCTTTTTGACTCTTGACGGACTTCCTAAGGTCATGAGTGGCTGAAGATTTCCTCCCTCTTAAGAAACAGTAGCTGTTATTTTCCCCTCTGACCATGATTAACGAGGAGAGCCCGAGGAAGGCAGGAAGGTGACTCTTGCCTCACCTCTTCCTATAATGAGGACTTGCAGCTTGGTGGAAATAGGAATATAAAGTTGGGTCTATTTTTTATTTTTTTTCTCAGCGCTCTTTGTCTAGTCTGGCTTCTTAACAATGCCTCTTGTTACTCAGCTTTCTGACCTCATCGGTGAACCTATTGTGTTGGATCCGGGAACACTCAGCCCATCACCCTGGCACTAAGGTCCAGTGACTAGTTTGGTTCTTGTAACCAACACAGT